AGCTCTCAGGTGTCTCTTCAGACTCTGGGAGCTGCTGAGGTTTGTGGTGAACTCCTGTGAAATCTTCTGTTGATGTTAGAAACCCACATTTTAATCAGCAGATAGAACAACCAGGATCTGATATGAAAACCTCCACCTACAACGGTTCAATATTTGGGCTTTTTGGACGATAAATTACCAAAAAAGACTCGTTGATGTTGAAGTGAAGTGCAGACGTGTGATTCAGAAACGTCTACAATAAGTGTTAACCCTCTCTGGAAGTTTCCTCTTTTATTTCTTTTCAACGCTGAATCAATTTAATTTTTGCTTTTTGGACAATAATTTGGAAAAAAGACTTGTCCAAGTGTCAAACTTCCAGCTCAGTCTTTATTCACAATCAGGCTGAAATCACAGGAAGCGACGTTAAAGTTAAACGTGAAGGGGAGCAGACGGACGGATACAAACACTGAAGATCAAATCGGCGGGCTCTTTTCTTTTGATGCATTTTGTTTCTCCACATGTAGGAAGTCCGTTCCAGACTTTTTATCCACTGCTTACTCAAACAGGCCTCCCCGCCCGCTAGCATCGGAAGCTCGACACAAAGAGTTGACGTTTCAGAGTGAAAACAGCCTATTTCAGGAGTTTGTGGGTTACGAGGTCAGCGAGACGCCGAATCTCTTCATCTGACCGGTTTACACGTTCGTCTTTCTTCTCTCTGGACTTCATTTAAAACGTTTTATGTCGTATCTCCCATCGACATGAACACCAGAACAATAAAAACGTGACAGCGACGAGTCCAGACAAGGCTGAAAACCTGGAGTTGTGTTTACTCATTGTTTGGCTCAAACCCCCGCAGAGCCACAGGAAGAGCAAATAAAGATGGCCGAGCTGATAACCATGGGAACCGCCGCTGCTGCAGCTCAGTTATAATAATTTGTGCTTCACAAACACTCAGAAACTCTGTGTGTGCGAAAAGCAAAAACCAAACCTGGTTCAGAGTTCATCCACGTCTCAGTGATGCTCTGCGCCCAGCGCTCCTCCAACCATACCTGTATGGAAATACACCAAAACCATCTGAAGAGAAATGCTTCACAGGGAGTCAGACACAAAAACCACAACTCAATGTTTCTACAGATGCATTTATCTCGTTTTTTTTGGTGCTAATTATCTGATGCTTCACAGATAAAGTTAATACTTTGGTAGCAGCTGTGCAGAGTGTGATCTAGATGAGACAAACTAAGTT